CCGCTGTGGCTTAACACATACATGTGACATGAGTTTTTTGGTTTTAAGCCCCGCTTCCAGCTGGGAGTAAAGACTCCAGTTCCAGCTTACCCTCTTTCCCTCCCAGGCTGCTCCCAGCTGGGGATGTGGTGCTGGGCGGGAGGGGTCAGTTTTTCCTCCCCCACTCCTTGCTTATCTGACAGGGAGGCTGTGGAGGGGGCATGGCTAGGGGAATTACAGGCTCTATGCAGTGGCCAGCAGGCTATTAGTATGGGCTGCCTTTCCTATTTTAAATTCATTCAGTCTATGCAATTAAAAAAAAAAAACCTGCAAAGATTGAACTCGTTCAACCTCTGGCTTTTTGACTGTCTGTATTTAGCCACTGTGTATGTGATCAGTGCTTTATTTAAAGCATCAGCAACATGTAAACTGTTCCCTTTCCTTACAGTTTTCTCAGTAATATACTTAAATTAGAACTCATCTTTATATTCTTAGCACCAGGCATACTTAAATCATGCAAGAAAGACAGATTCAAAAACCTTTTTCAGAAAGCTCAGCAAAGATAGGCAGTTTTCCTTTTGAAGTCTGTCTTCTACATTGTATCACTAATGGGTGAGTGAAGAAAGCTACCCACACTACATTTGAAAGAGAATAGCTGGAAGCCCCAAACAAATACATGTCTTCCAAGTGAATTTACATAAAACACATAATTTCATTTCTTATGTTTCTTTCTCCGCTTGACGGGTGCCTGACTGAACTTGTACAATGTAGAGTTTTTATAAATATTAAAGGGAAAAATATCAAAATTAAGTGAGTTGCTGGCCTTTCATACTCATACATATAATCACAGTAGTCATTTTTCTAGGAAAGAAAGACTTGCTGTGACTGAATCCAGGTGGTTATCACTCAGGCACACCTGCATGTACTGTGAACCCAGATGATGTATATGGTAGTGGGGTGAGTGAGGTCTGTTATATTCTAAGCTTACTATGAGTGATCCAGGTCCAAAGAGAAGCAAGTAGATACTGATGTGGTTATAAAGAGACTTCTCCCCTTCTCCCTTCACTGCCTCTAACACAATCTTCTACCCCCAGCAAAATAAAAATAAAAAAAGCAAGAATGCTGTGGAAAACCACAGATTCTCACGTTTTCCCTCATCACAAGCATTGGTAAAATGTAGTGTGTACACAAGGAATTTACATGTTGGTGATACCATTTTATATGGGAGCAAAGTCTAGTTAATTCTCTTCCTGAAATAAGCAACAACAATATCCAGGATCACAGCAACTGGAAATGTCAGTCTGATTCCACACACCCCCCTTTTACAATGGTGTAAAACAGCAGTTGTTCCAACAAAATCAGTGGATTTACTCCACTGTGAGAGAAGAAAATCAGTCCCATCTATCCTTCCAGACCATTTTTTTTTTTTTTGAGTGAAACCTTTCCCATCAAAATAGTCATCATTTAGACAGGATCTAAATTTGTTCGCTCCACCTTTTTTGTCCTCTCTGGCTTTAATGCCCTCTGCTTTATTCTCTCTTCCTACCCCATCTGTCATCCCTTCTTACTTATGGAAATAATCCCTTCCTTTTCTTTCTGTTTTTCTTATTCTACTTTCTTGATCATTCCCTCTTGTCTAGAGTCTCCTTCACAGGTACAGTACTTCACAGAGTCTATCTGCCTCAGAATCTCTAATCATCTCACCCCTCTCTTTCCAGATTTTAATTTCATCAGAGGTCTTTACACTTTTTCTTGCCCATCTATCTAAAAGTCCGTCCTCCCTTCCCTCCAAGGGATGTCATACCATTATCTTCTCCATAATCTCTCTTCCCATTGGCAAGTCCTTTGCTTAAACCCTTATCTTGGTGTTCTTCCTTTCTCAAATGTTCTTGCTGCCATTTTGGCGCGCTCAAACTTTTGCACTCCCTTTCCACTTCTCCCTATGGCTCTGTGTCTTGCTTCTGTCAGTTTTCCACTAAACACTCATTTCTCTATATGGGAAATCCCCTTCTCCCTCATCCCAGCTTTTTCGTTTGTAACCATTATCTTTCACTCCTCTGTTTTCAGCTCCCACATCCTCTCAAGAATCTGTCCCTGTTCCAGGCTCCCTCTAAATCCTCCCTATCCACTCTACCCTTTTTATAAGCCATTTTACCTGGCCTGTGTTTTGGTCCAAGTGTTGTTTTTTGTTTGGTTTTTCTTTTTCTTTTCTTTTTTTTTTTTTAGAAGACTGAGGAGATCATTTCTTATTGGTCTGATATTATTTAAAATGAAGGTTGCAATACTAGTTTGCTTACTATAATCTATGACTGTATGGATCCATGACTCCTTCTTGCATACCTGGACTTGCTTGATCGCCTGGACTTGCCGAAATATTAATAAGTAGAAATCATCATAGTGTGTGTGTATGCATCTCCGCATGCACTTGTGCACACTTTATTTATTAAATCCACATCTGAAGTGCCCCACCATATTATTGCAAATATCCCTCCCCTTCAGAAATATAATCCTTAGAAAAAATGCTTTTAGGGGTAATATTTCTGTGAATCATTAGAACACCAGTAGTGATCATATACCTTCATGAATAGCACTGCTGAGAGGAAACAGTGGTGCCAAAGACCAATATTCTTGACCAGCAGGAAACCTCTCCTGTTAGCACTGGTTCATCACAGCAGTGAAACACCACTATTTTTAGAAACAACAATGTCCTGTATATAAAATAAAATCTTATTTTAAGTTTTATTTTGATTAAATTGTGTTATATTTGCTAATTCGAGTCATCTTCCTTGCAGTAGCTTCCAGTCATCACTTTTCACTTCAGTTTCTGTCTAGAGGTGAAACTTATTATTTTACCTATTCTGTCTCTCTACAGCACCTTTCTTGGAAAAGCACTGCCTTGTCTTGCTCCTGCTTTTACTCAGATTCCATCATCTTTAATACAGCACCACTTTTAATTAAGCCAATGTTTCTCTGACTTTTTACATCTAGTTATCTGAATAGTGAGAATGTTGCTAGAGTGCAGATCAATGTCATCCTCAAAGTCAAGAGCACATAATGCAACTGTTTTATCTGGTTCATCTTCTCCGT